AGGTCATCCCAGTTTAAATCTGCTAGAAGACTATTAAAATTTTCAATGGATTTTTCATCTATTTTTCGTGTAACTTTTTCAATTTTTTTTGCATAGATATTATCGCATTTTTGTGAGATAAGAAATATAGGGAAGTGGTCTGAAATGTCGCATTTAAATATACCCGTTTTTATTTTTGATTTAAATTCGTAGGTTACTATTTGGTCTATAACAGTTGCGCTTTCTCTTGTTATTCTTGTGGGTTTATTAATTAGTGGAATATAGCCTTTCTGATAAATGACGTTATAGAAATTATTTATTTTTGTATTTAAATGACGCATGTTCATGTCCAGGTTAAAATCACCTACAAAATAAACGCTTTTATTTTTGTTTAACTTATTTTTTATTATGTTTTTAATATAATTTTCGAATTGTTTTATTGAGCCGAAAGGTGGTCTGTATAAAACGTGGATGATTATGTTTTTTGTGGTTTTATTTATTATTTCCACGCATATTGATTCACAATCATTAGTGGTTGAACACAAATCTTTTCTTAGTTTGTATACTAAAGTGTTGCTTATAAATACACACAAACCCCCTCCTTTTTTCCCAGATTCTCTAAATTGATGAATCACTTTAAAATTTGGCAGCTGAAAATTTGTATTTGACATAATATATTTATCAGTACACCAACTTTCGCTGAGACTAATGATTTTAAAATTGAATTTAATCTCGCATAAAAATTGTTTAATTGATTCAAAATTTTTTGAAATGCTCCTAATGTTTAAATGCAAATTTGAAAATGAATTTACATCTATTCCTTGCATTATGTTTGCAGATTTAGGGTTATAATATAAAGTATTAGTATTTTAAAAAGCTTTATTATTACTATAAAAATTAATATCCGGGTCAGAAGTTTTATCTATAAGTATCCTATTTTTATTTTGTAATGAATTAAATTCTAAGTTAATTGAATCATTATTATCATTCAGGGTGTTTATTTTTTTAAAAAACTGTTAAAAAGAATAAAAAATAGAAAAAAAAAAAAAAAAAAAAGTAATTAAGCACTCGCTTGCTTTTTCCTAAATTCTCTAACTATAAGCTTATCATATTTTATAATAGAATATTTACCATTTTTTCTATGCATCTTTATTTCTTCTGAGAGTTTTCTTCTTATGATTGTTGTTTCAAAAGAGAAGTCTTCGTTAATGTATATTCCTGTTCCTTTAAGCCGATTTGATGAATTTAAAACTTTTATTTTATCTTTGTAATGTAGTATTTTATCTACAATTATTCGAGTTTTACTTTCTTCTTTTTTTCCAATTCTATGAACCCTCTCGATATCAATGTTTTTAATGTTTAACACGTTTTCAAATAGGGTTTGTAACTTTTTTTCGGTTTCATCCCAGGTTTCTTGATCGTTTTCAGGAAGCCCGTCGATGCGAAGATTATTTCTTCTGAGTCTATCTTCTAGCTGTCGTAATTTGTTTTTTTCCTCTTCACCTACACTGTTTTTGTTTTTAATTTTCTTTTCTAAATCACATACTTTTTTATCTTGGATATCCTTAGTAACTGTTAGACTTTTTCGATATCTTTATTTGTTTTTTCGAGTATTCTTACTCTTTCGGTAATTTCTTTAAGTTTAGTGTTAATCTTTTCGTTTTCTTTTTTTTATGAGTCGCAAGTTTGTTTTAGATTATGTATTTTATCAAGTAACTCATTGACTTTATCATTAGTTATTTTTATGTTACCACTAATAAGCTTCAAAATATCTTTCTGCTGCTTTGAAAACATTTCATAAAAAATATCGCGAACAATATTTGTTGATATTTGCGTTTTATCAATTTTCCCCGTTTCGTTAGATTTCTTTCGATCCATGATATTACAATGTATATTCCCAGTGGGCATTTCGACGTCGAACGAACGTCGAGCGACGTCGGATCTTGACGTCGGATCGACGTTGGGTTTACGTTGGAAATGGAAATGTTATTTGACGTCGGATAAACTGACATCGCGCGACGTCGGCATTCCGATGTAAATCCAACGTGTTTTTTGAAAACTAATAAAATGTTGCCTTTGGCAGGAATCAAACCTCGATCTATTAGATACAAATCCTACGCGCTTACCACTACACCACCAGGACATATTAATTAAAGTGTTTATTTAGTAATCTATACTTGTAGCTATTTGGGAATTATTACTTTGATAAGAAATAATTTTGTTTAAATATTATATAAATACTAAAACGAATAGTTATGTATTATAAAAAATGTATACTCGAAAATGTTAATAGTTAAAAAACTATGCTAGTGCATCATACAAAACCTCATGATGTTTTATCAACCATTATTCAAACTTCTTTCCATTAATAAAAAACACGCTTAGTTCACATATTTATTGAAGAGCGCAACTGCACACATATTGTTGGGTTTGGATTAAATTTTCATCAGCGATGTCTTACGACGTTGTTCCGACGTCGTTTTAAGGACGTTGGATTGACGTCGGAAGACGTCAAAAGACATCGGAGTACGTTAATATTATGACGTTGCCCGACGTCTTTTTATCGACGTTGGATCGATGTCAGTACTGCGACGTTTTTTGGACGTCTTTTATAAGATGTCGGAACAACGTCAAAATACATCGAAACGACGTCAGGGGATGTTGAGATAAAGACATCGCCCGACGTCATTTTACTGACATCGGCACAACGTCGGAATAGGTCTTTTGACATCGCTGATGAAAATCAAACGTAAATCCGACGTCGGATTGACGTCGGGTGCCCACTGGGTTATTACAATTATATTGATTATTTTCTATCTATCTATCTATTTATCTAATATTATTTATTATCTATCTATCTGTTTTCTATCTCAGTTCTACCAGTCTTTTCAAAAATATTAGAAAAAATAATGTACAACAGATTGTACACTTATCTTATTGACAAAAAACCTCTTTATAAAAATCAGTTTGGTTTTCAAAAAAAAAGTTCTACTGAACACGTTATTCTCCAAGTAACGCGCAGTATTGCTGACTCTTATAAGAATTCTCGATTTACTCTTGGCATATTTATTGATTTGTCAAAAGCTTTTGACACTGTTAATCACCATATTTTATTGAAAAAGCTAGAAAGCTATGGTATAAGAGATGTAACTCTAAACTGGTTTAAAAGTTATCTAAGTTACCGTAAACAATTTGTTTATAACAAAGAATCTTCGCCTCAATTTTTAACGAATGTAATATGTGGTGTTCCCCAAAGATCCATACTTGGGCCATTCTTATTTTTATTATACATAAATGATCTTTACAAAGATTCTAATTTAGCGACAATAATTTTTGCTGACGATACAAGTTTATTTCAGTCAAACGAAGACATTAAAATACTCTTTAACAATATGACTGAGGAACTTAAAAATATTTCATTTTGGTTCAAAAAAAAAAAGGTTTTCTTTAAATACCGATAAAACAAAATGGATACTTTTTATCCAACTTCTAAAAAAAGAAAATTCAAAATATCTTACCTGACATATATATTGACAGTATTTCAATGAAAATTGCTAAAAGCATTGGAGTTCTATATAAAGTTAGACATATATTAAATAAACATCAATTAACACAACTATATTATTCATTTATTCATAACCATTTAAATTATGCAAATATAATGTGGGGAAGCGCTCACAAAACCAAACTTAAATCTCTTTATCAACATCAGAAACACGCAGCTCGTCACAAAAACTATGCGTGAAATTCAAATTTTGACTTTTAAACGACTTTTTGAAAAAATGGCAAAATATTTACGCCAAAGCATTTATTGGAATTTTAAGATGTTGATGATTTAATCAAACGTCTAATGCTTATATTAATAAAAAATGGCTTGGAAGATAGCTAAAGTCTTGCCAAAAAGTTATTTATATAACTTAAGTAAAAAGACTGGTTTTTCCAAGTAAAAAGATGGTTTAGCTGTTAGCAGTTGGCACAAAAGTACATTCCGTTACACACCTAAAAAACTTACATTTAAGTGTTTCCATTTTATAAAAAAAAATTTATTTGTTTTTTCAATGTTAGAAATACCTTTTAACATAAATAATAGCTCCATTCATCCCCATTCATCTCCATTCATCAAGCTCAAAGTTTCTCTCAAAACCCAACTTTTATTAATTTTGACGGCTCCATTTAATTTTTTTTGTCTCGATCAATACGCATTCATAATTGTGTAATATTTTATGATAAATAATAACTTTATATGTTATTAATTACTGTATACGTTGTAAACATGAAACTTAAATTTAGGAAATAGTAAATATATGATATTATTGATATATTTACATATATATATATATATATATATATATATATATATATATATATATATATATATATATATATATATATATATATATATATATATATATATATATATATATATATATATATATATATATATATATATATATATACATATATATATATATATATATATATATATACATATATATATATATATATATATATATATATATATATATATATATATATATATATATATATATATATATATATATATACATATATACATATATATATATATATATATATATATATATATATATATATATATATATATATATATATATATATATATATATATATATACATTATATATATATATATATATATATATATATATATATATACATATATATACATATATATATATATATATATATATATACATATATGTGTGTGTGTGTGTGTGTGTGTGTGTGTGTGTGTGTGTGTGTGTGTAAAACTTATGTTTTAATTATAATATTTATGCTTTATTTCTATTAATTCTAATTCATTCAATAAACAATAATATTCTTAAACTTTTAATGTATTTGAAATTTATAAATAACTTGTTCATTTGTAAATAATTGTATAGAAAATTAATGCTTAACATTAATATTATTATCATTATTTTTGTTGTTGTTATTATTGTTAATATTATTATTATTATTATTATTAACAATAATAATAGAATAATTTTTTATATAGAGTAAATGGAATACCACAAAAAAAAGTTGTTAAAAATGTGTAGAACATGTGGTCAAATAATCAAAAAATGTGCTGGATATGTTGAACCAAAATCTGTTCATTTTTACAAGGAACAACTTTTAAAACTATACAATATTTTAGTGGATAATGACCACACTGATATTCATCCAATATATTTGTGTCACAGTTGTCATATTATAGTAACTGCTGATAATTCAGTCCTTAAACAAATAAATGTAGCTTATGATAAAAAATGGAATCTGAAAATAAATGGAAAATTTGTTTCAAAATCTCATTGCAGTCTTCTAAACAATCTTCCCAAGCTTTTGATAGTAGAAACTTCTAATCTAATCTTCAGCCTCATAACTCAATCCAATGTCTGCAATGCAAACTGTGAATATAAAGATTTGGTAAAAAATTAATGACCTTTCTTCTTTCGTTTCTGAAAAAAACTTTAAAATAGAGACTCCATATATGGAATCAGTTACTGATTGCACAGTTTTTAGGCACAAGTTGTGTCCTATTTTAATTCCATTAACTATATCAAAATGTGAGTTTTGTTTGGAATTAAGAAAATATTTAAATTTAAAACAATTTTGTCTAAAAGAAAAGCAGAACAAAATTGCTTTGGATAGTGGAAATAATTCAATGTTTTCAAATAAGAAAAACGACCGATATATGTCCAAAGAAGAACTACTGTTTAAAATAAAGATCTTGGAAAATGATAAAAAAAAAATAGCGACTAAATCTTTGCACCTCCAGTGTAGAATTAATCAACTGATAAAAAAAGAAGGACTAATTGTTGATGGCAAGACACACAAAGTTATGAAAGAATGCTTGATAGACAAAAATTACAACCCTTTCAGTGAAAGTTCCCCCCAATATTTATTGTGGGAACAACAAAAGATTCAGGTTTCACGTAAAGATAAGAGGTCTATGAAATGGCACCCAGTTCTTATTAGATGGTGTTTGAGCATTTACCTAAAAAGTCCTGAGACATACAAACATTTAACTAAGTCTGAGTTTATGTACCTTCCATGTAAAAACACTCTTTTAAAATACATAAATTTTACAGATCCAGGATGTGGCTTTAATGCAGATGTTATCTCACGATTAATTTTGAATGCTGATATTAAAAATTTAAAAGAACATGAAAAAAATGTTTCTTTAGTATTTGACGAGATGAAAATCAAGAGTGGTCTTGTATTCAGTAAAACAACTGGTAAAATAGTTGGTCTGACCGAAATGGGATCATTGAATGATGCTCTTGATGAGTTTAAAAACAAAATTGAAGGAAATAAAAGCATAAATAGTCCAACTTTGGCAAAGTATGTTATTGTGTTTATGGTTAGACGAATATTTTCATCTCTATGCTATCCATTTGGACATTTTGCGTCTAGTGGATTTAATAGTGATCAAATTTTTAATTGCGCTTGGGAAGCAACCTGCATTCTTGAATGTATTGGGTTTAAAGTTCGCTCTATGGTAGCAGAGGGTGCTTCGCCAAATCGTAAGTTCTTTCGAATTCATCTTGCTGAGAATTATGAAAATGTCAAGGATACTACTGTGCATTGGACATGGAATATTTGGTGTTCAAGTATAATTTTAATTACTACTTTGCAATGTAAAAATGTCGCTTTTAGTTCGAAAAAAAAATATGTTGTTAATTAAAAAACTGAAATATTTTTAACAAATCACAACAAATTTTGAGTGATATTTTTTAGCTCGCAAACTTTACTTTTTTTGTGATGTTCCTCATTTGATAAAAACTACTCGCAATAATTTGGAGAACTCTCATTGGAACCAAAATTCTAGAAATCTAATGACCCTCATTAAGGTGGTTCTAGAAACACCTTTTTTTAAAATAGGTGTCCTCCAACCCCTAATTGTGTTCTTTATAATAAAATAACACTGGATTTAAGTTTTTTTTTTAAAGAAAAAATATAAGGGACCCTTAAACATCAGACCCTTAAACATCAGACTGGTCCTTAATATTATGGAGAAAAAAATCAACCTGGTATGTCCTCAAAAGAATCGAAATTTAATAAAAATTTCAAAAACAACATTCATTTCTTATGAATATTATTATTTGACATTTTATTATTATTATTTTTATTTTATAAAAAACAACATTAATTATTTTTTATAAAAAATAAATTTAAAGGGTCTTGAGCATCCCCTTAAAAAATTTTTCAAAAAAAAATTAAATCCAGTGTCATTTTATTATTAAGAGCACAAATAGGGGTTGGAGGACACCTATTTAAAAAAATGGTGTTTCTAGAACCACCCTAAACCTCATTGTAATGATTGCAAACTATTTTCAATTTTGAAAAAGAAAGTATTTAATAATAAAAATTTCTCAAGATGCTCAAGATCATTATGGTAATTCTGATAATTATTACAGTGATTTGAAAATATGATTTATAAGTATAAAATATATAATTGTTTCAGATTGAGGATCAGTTTATAACATGGCCTCAAATTATGAATGTCTATGAATGGGATCTGGGCATGTTTCATGATGCTGTTGGTCTACGAATGGGACACAAACTCAGAGATGAGCACATACAGTTAACTCCACAATTTAGAATGCGGGTCAATTTAGCTGCACAGGTTAGAATGCATAAAGATAAATTTTAAAATTAGTATAATACTTTTTAACATTTAAATGATATATTTATACTTAAGGTGTTAAGTCAAACTGTTGTACATATGTTGGAGGAGCAGGGTAAAGCTGAAACAAGATGTTTCTTTTTTTTTTCTTTTAACATCTTCACTTCCAACAAGGCTGCACGCAACCACTATAAGAGTTGGAAGTTACTGGAAGAGAAAAGACTAAATCTGTAGAGCAAGATAACGATTGACTGATGACTTAAAAGATTGCAAATTATATGAATCAGGAAAGCAAGATGAAGGAAGCGAATTCCAAAGAACTGATGTTCGAGGAAAAAAACTAGAAGAATAAGAGTTTTTGAAGCACTTAGGAACAGTCACAGAAAAAGGATGAGACTTAATTGAATGGCGAGTAACACGAGAATGAATTTTAGTAGATGGCACAAGGGACGCTAGCTCTTTAGAGCAGTGCCAATTATAGTATTTGTAGAAAAGAGAAAGAGAAGCAACATTACGACGATGTGACAAAGGTTGGAGATTGGCTGCCAGAGCAGGTCCAACTATGTTTACAATTCGTTTTTGCACCTTGTCTAAAAGAGAAAGAGCATCATTAGAAGATCCGCCCCAGATGTGGCAACAGTATTCCATACAGGGACCGATTTGAGATTTATAGAGATAGAGAATAGAATCTGGAGTAAGAAAGTGTCGAGCTCGATAAAGAGATGCAACCTTAGCAGATGCTAATTTTGCAATGGATTTGATATACGGTTTAAAAGAAAGATCAGAAGTAAGAGTTAATCCTAGAAGATGAATGGTAGATGACTCATCTAGTACATTACCATTCATAAATATAGGAAGATCTAAATTATTACGATAACGATTGGCCGAATAAAATTGAGTTTTATCTGAATTAAAGTTCACCAGCCACTGTGAGCCCCATGCTGGAGCAGAAGTGAGATCCTTTTCAAGCTCAGATACCCCCTCCAAGCAATCAGAGAGTGTAGGCTTCTTATCATGACAAGAGTAAATGGTAGTGTCGTCAGCGAATAATGCCACCTTAGATGTGAGAATATCTGGAAGATCGTTAATGTAAATTAAAAAGAGTATAGGGCCAAGGATTGAACCTTGAGGAACCCCTGAAGTTACATGATGTGAAGAAGAGTGTTGTCCATCGAGGACAACTTTTATACTACGATTGGAAAGAAAGGACTCAATAATCTTAAAGACGTTACCAGCTACACCATAAGAAGAAAGCTTATGGAGAAGACCAGCATGCCAAACTTTATCAAAAGCTTTACAAAAATTTAAAAATTTAATTGATACCTTCTTTGATTGCCTTAATGTTTCAAGGCAATTTAATAAAACTAGAAAACCGCCTTTAGATGTTTACAAAACTCATTTGGATAAAAGATTTGAGGTACAATATTTCAATATTGAAGATTTTTTATTTAAATTGTTTACTGTTTTATGCAAATGGCGTCTTTAGTTAAATGCACTTCATTAAAATACGTTATTTTAGATTTACTTATATGTTTATTATATTTTTTATTTTAATATTAATATTACTTTTAACCTCTACTATAATATATATTTAATATTATACATATTCTAACTTTAATACACATAATTAACAGCTTTCAATTGAAAAGTATAAACTTTAGTTTTACTAAAAAAATGTATTAGTTAATACTTTTCAGTTATTCATAAAGTGTTTTTTTTTTCAAGTATTATTAATATTTTTATTTTTTGGGACAATTTTTTGGCAATAATAAAAACAATTTATATTAATATTATGTTATTAATTATTCAGGGTTGCCACTCTCAATAGCTTGTCAGTACTTATAATAAGAAATTTGCAAGGTGTAGGGGTTGTTGTAAAACTTTTATTTTGTCATTAAATTGTGTTTAAATAAGGAAAATAATATTCTTGTGAATTAACTAGAAAGAGCATGGAAAATTCTCGGAAAAGTCAGGAAATTTAAAAAGCTAAACTCAAGGGAAAAGGTTTTTTCTCAGGAAAAACTAGGGGACAAGTTTTTAAAATTATAAACCCTGTTTATTATTATTATTATTATTATTATTATTATTATTATTATTATTATTATTATTATTATTATTATTATTATTATTATTAATATTATTAACAAATAATTATAGCGAATATATTATTTCTTTAATAGTGGTTGAATCAAACGTTTATTAAATTTTTAAATGAATGGGAGCAAGCCAGTCAAAATGTTAAAAATTTATCGATAAAAGAAAAAGCCAAACTTTGCTTGAGTAAACAAACCCTAGAAGGGTTCAGAATTACAGGTAAAAATTGATTAATATGAACAAAACATAAACTTGTACTTCTATTATTTGATTGATTAAGTTGATTTCATTAAATTTAAATTTTTGGAATAGTGCACTCATTTACTGACCTTGGTTCAACTCTTTTACAAGAAGAAGGTGTAGAGTACTTACTTTCAGAAAAGTTCAGTCAAGATCCTGTAGAGGAATACTTTTCCAAGCAGCGAAGAAGAGGGGGAGGAAACGAAAATCCTTGTTTAGAAGAATTTAATCGTAACTTTCTAGGTTTAAATATTGCTGGCGACAATCTCATTCGAGCCTTAAATGGAAATTATAGAGGAAGATTTCAGGAAGATCTAAAAATTGATGTTACTGACACCATGCATCTGCCGAAGAAAAAGCCGAAAAAATATTGATTTTATTTATTTAAAAACAGTTACATGTTATTTCATTTCTTTTTTTTTAATTGAGTTTTAAATAATTTGGTTCTTGTTTTTCCACTCTATCTACCAGTGTGTGTTTGTGTTTCAGACTTTGGAATTGGAATTCAGACTTTATATGGAATCATGGAATTCAGACTTTATATGGAAATAATTTTTGAACGCTAAGTGTTTATTGAAATTGAAATTTTTTTGATGAATATGAGAATATTTAAGAATAGAAAAAAAAATATTTTGCTTACTCGTTGCCCTCACATTTGGTATAGAGGGGGTAATTTTGGGGGGCATTTTTGTTCCCGGACTCCTTTCGTTGCAATTTTTTGAAAAGCATCCTTATTTAACTTTAATTTAATTTAAATTTAATTAAAGTATAAAACATATAAATGTTTGGAGTTTCAAAGGTTGGTTTATAAATTATGCTTAAGGAGTGAGAAGGTTTAAAGGCAGCAAGTACGTAAGCGGTTAGGGGACTGTCCATAAAGGGCTTTTTTCTTATACTAAATAAAACTTCTTACTTTTAATGACGTCGTATGCTACTATCGAGATTAAACATTTTGAAAGAGTAGACTTAAAAACTGGGGGAGGGGCTAAATTACCAAAAGGTAATTTAGCCCCTCTAACACTTTTAAAAAGTGAGGGGGTTTAGCCCCTTCTGTTTAGCTACCCTGGCTCCCTCTTGAAAAGGATATCATAAAGTTGAGACTTTTTTTTTCAATAAAATTTAAATATTAAATGATAATCGGCTTTTTTCTTATTCGAATGTTATTGACTTAATGAGCGAATTTAAAAGATTATTTTTATCCATCTTTTGACACGGACACTGAATGTGCAAATGAGAGTTCCAGTAGAAAAAAATCATGTTCGACACTATTTCCATAAATAACTTCATAGAACTTCATGTTTGACACTATTTCCATAGATAACTTCATAAAAAAAAGTTTACATAAAAAATCGGTGACGTCATATACTAATAAACCCATCCCTTTTTTATATCGAAGTCCACCCCACACGACCTTTATGGATGGCCCATTAGATTATCTTTTTCATAAATTTTGTAAAAAATTCTTTCTTTTTAACAAATGGCAAGGCAAATTCCCTATTCCCTCTCTTACCTGTCTGTTCATCTTTTGATGCCCTTTTAAACTGCCCGTCTTTTAATCAAAAACAGAAAAAAAGAGAGATAAGAGGGCTCTAGATTTTGTTAAAAACATTACTCGACAAGGGGGAAGGGCTCCAAAATCAGTGGCTGTTATGTGTGCATACTTTATAGATGCCCCTTAACTTAGGCCAAAAACTTGATTATTCAATGGGTACTTTATATCAGAAGCGCCGAGAGCCGTCACGCCGCACAGTGAGTCAAAATCCATAAAAAAAACTACTGTTAGAAAATCATTAATTAAATTATAATGTAACTAAATAACACTAAATAACGATAATTATTAATTTTTTTGAATAATTTTTAAGATTCCAACAATTTATAATATATATAATATAATAAAAGTATAAATAAAAAATGAAGCTAATAATCAAGAAAATATTTTGGTCTTTACTTTATTGCTGATAACTTAAAAAACTATAATTCATAAAAAATATTTTAAATATTTACCTTCAGGAGCGGATTTTTTGGTGTTTGAGATAAATAACTTCCAGCTAAGTTATAAACTCCAAATTTTTCAGAAAATGATACTGATTAGAGCATGTAAACAAAAATACCATAAAAAGTAGGCATCACTCACATTATAATGTGAGGGGAATTAGTTTTTCCAAAAAGAAAATTTACTTCTTTTAATAAGAATGAAATTTGTATATGCATTTGAAATTTCATTATAACCATTTACAGTTTAGAACCCCTTCACAAGGATGGGGATATATATTTAAATTGGGTATAATCTGTAAACAAAACAATATTATTAAATGAAAAAAAAAGAATTTTTAGAACCTTGAAGATATTTCCGCCCAATTTAGGCGGTTTTTAGTTCCGCCTCAGGTGATGCCTACTTTTGTTAGTATTTTTGTTTCCAGACTCTAATCAGCATTTTTTGGAAAACATAGTAAACATACAAAAGTTTGTAGTTTAGAACTTACCTGGAAGTTACTTAACTCAAATCCAAAATAAATCTTGAAATTGCCTGAGACCTTTTTATTATTTATCTGAAGGAAATTTTCTTTTTACAAAGAGTTTTTCTTAGTCCTGGTTCACCTTGACTTGAAATGTCACCTTTATTTATATGCTTTACCACATTAATCCAAGCTGTTAAGAAGGAACGAGCACGCATAGATAGCCACTTTTTTAAGATAGTTAACTTTAACAGTTGAGATAATTCTAAATTTTCAAGATTTCGAGTCAGTGATGACCAAGAAAGATCTAACTGGGCATTTTTTTGGAAATTTGACATTAAAACATCTCTAAGATCCTGCCCGTTATAGTTCACTAGTAAGTTTCTATTTAGTATGGATCTTGCAATGTTTTCAATATGGCATATAAACAAATAAAACTCGTCATTCACATGCATTAATGCTCCTCGATCTACTCTGTTGATCCACGATCTTGTACTATTCAATAAAACTACATCAGAAATGTTGCTTGACAACTGCCAAGAATTTATAACAGAACAGATTATTAAAGATGATGGTGATTTATTTCTTTTGTATTTTTTTAGCAAGAAAAAAATAATATATCCAGAAACATACATTAGCACTTTTTCCTCTTTTAAAGATAATTTTAGTTCTAACATTTTTTCATCCGTTACAAAGAGTTCACTATTTCTCCATAGTAAGCATTTTTCATATATTTTGTTTATCACATATACTCTTAACATATCAATATGGATCTCAATAACTTCAATATTTATTAACTTTAAAATTGTATTCCATTCAGTCTTCAAATTAGCTGACAATCTCATTTTATTGACCATTTGACATATACTATTACGAAAACAAGGAGTATTACTTGATGTGTTTAATATTGCAAACATATCAATGGATAGAAGTCTATTAAAATGTTCAACTGATTTTTCAATTTCATTTTTGTGAAATAGCAGTTTAGAAGCAACCATGACAGAAATATTGCCAGAAGTAACAAAATCTTTGTCTGACATGTTGAAAAATTCATCTTTAAAAGCTTCGTTTATTGATTCCCAAAAGTACACAGAGAAATTCTCTAAAAGCTTTATTTGCTTTTAGAGAATTTCTCTTTTACATCATCATTGAGAATATCTAAATTTCAAAGTGTTTAAAAAGCAATTAAAATTTAATTTTTCATAACCATATTAATACAAAACAGACTTTGGGTACACTAACTTTAAAAACTTACTTTTAGAGCTTGCTTTTCCAACACATTTTAGGATGTGATTATCATAATAATTTTTGGTATTGTAATGTTTTTTACATTTTTCACATCTCATCAATTCAGAACTTTTTTTTTTTATGTCAAGCTCTTTAAACTCTGGAAGAAGAAATATTTCCTCATCAAAGGTTGAGATATCAAAATTGTCTTCATTAATAATTAATTCGGTTTCAAAATCCTCCATTAAAATATTTATTACATCACTTTGAAAGCAATCAACATCTAAAATAGAAAGAACATCATTTGCTTCACACGACATGTTTATTTAACCTAAAATGAAATACAAACATCAAACTAAATTATTTAATAATTAATTTGTAATACTTATACAGTTATAAGCAATACAATTAAATATAAGTTATATATATATATATATATATATATATATATATATATATATATATATATATATATATATATATATATATATATATATATTTATATATATATATGTGTGTGTGTATACATATATATATAAAAATATATGTTACATCTATTTATAATATATACATATATTTATAATATATTTGTATACATATATATTATAAATATATGTATACATATATTTTTATATATATATATATATATATATATATATATATATATATATATATATATATATATATATATATATATATATATATATATATATATGTATATATATATATATATATATATATATATATATATATATATATATATATATATATATATATATATATATTAATATATATATATATATATATATATATATATATATATATATATATATATATATATATATATATATATATATACTATATGTTTTTACTTATTTTTATATATAATAATATAATATAATTAATATAAATGTTACATATATAAAATGTATGTATACATACATTTGTATGTATGTATACATACATATAATATATATGTTACATATATAAAATGTATGTATACATATATTTATAATATATTTGTATACATATTATGTATACATATATATTATAAATATATGTATACATATATTTTATATATATATTTATAACAATAACAATAACAATAACAATATATTCTGAAATAATAGTTTACATTTCATGGTAGTTTACTAATAGTACGAGTACTAATCAAAGGTAAACACCAATTAAATAATAATAGCAATCATATAATAATAATAATAATAATGATAAAAGCAATAATAATAATAGAAATAATAATAATAGTAATAATAATAGCAATAATAGCAATTGTAATAATAATAATAATAATAATAATAATAATAATAATAATAATAGCAATAATAACAATAATAATAATGTAAATTAAACGAAGACGATTATAATAATACCAATAATACTATTAAATATAATAATGACAATAACAATGATTATATCAGCAATTATAATAACAAAAGCAATAATAGTAATAATAATAATAGTAATGAAGTTAACAACAATAGTAACAACAATAATAATATTAACAAATATCACATTCATATATTAAACAATTCCAATAAGTAATAATGGCGGTAATAAAAATGCAAATAAAATGTAAGTAATATTAACATCACATATAATAATAATACTAATAACAATAGTAATAATAATCTATTATAAGCCTAAGATTTTAATTTGCGTATTTTTCTATCAAAAAGTCAAAAAGACGGGTTTTAAATTGTGAAAAAGTGTTGAGGGATTGAAAATGAAAAGGTAA